ATATTACTTTGTGCTTTGATATGGAAGCTCAGTATACGATAGAAAAAAATAATTACTTTAAAGTTACTAGAGATTACGGGCTTATCATGTTTGTAATCGCTGTAAAGGACTTTAATGGCAAAACGTTCTAGGGCGTATAATTATACGTCAATGAAATACAGGCGTATTAAAAGCACTAAGGAAATAGGAAAAGTACATTACGTGATTAACCCCAATAATTATGGGTTACCTGTAACGAATTACATTATATTATTAAAATAAAATAATTTTCAAATTTTGTAAAATTACTCCTTATGAATTCTCATATTTTCGTCCGGTCTATTTAAATCGGGTAAATATATCGTTTATCTTTTTTAACGTCAAATGGATCGCTTTGTGCTTCGAATCGATATCTAAGTAATCACATACTACTTTATTCGTATCTATTCAAATTGATTGGCAATCAAGTAAATAGTTTATATATGTTAAGCTTTCCTAGACGGGTTCCTCGCAATGAATTAACATTAAGCAAAGGCACTTCATGGAAACAGAACCTGAAGCTTGAAATTCAATTTGTATAATAAACGATACACGAATTGACAAGGGATTAGTAACATTTCCACACGCGCTTTATTCAAGGTTAATAATAACCTGGAACACGTGCCAAAGTATAAAATCAATAATGATTATAAAGAGTCATTAAATTACAAAAATTATTAGGCAGCGAGAAATATTCTGATATAAATAATTTTTCAAGGTTCAAAATAAAACATATATTTATACAGCGTCCCACGGGAGTAGTTAAATGATTTTATCGTGATGAAAATAGAAAAGTGATATCTTTTTTTTTTAATGACGTAAACGGTCAATATAATCAAATTATATTCTAGGATCTGGAAGTTCAGGTATACGATATTATAATTTTACAATTAATCCAACGATCGAATTATATTTCATGGGTAATTCATAAATGATGTAGATATCCAATTATTATCGGCTGAGGATTTTGAATAAATTATGGAAAAAAAAAAAAATTTTGGAAATTACAAATTTATCCCAATTAGACATTCTTCCTAAAAAATCCCAGTGCCTAGAGAGCCTGCGTTAAAATTCATCTTGTAAGGGTGTGTTCAAACTGATCCTATAAGGGTGCGTTCACAATGTAGCACAAGCAGGCATCGAGAACACTAAACCAATCAAAATGACTTCACCCTGCTTCACCAAGCTATTCCTATAGCGAATGCGGCCTGCAATGCCCATTCAAGACTATATACGGCGATTCCGAATTCTCGTGGCGCATAAAACGCAGAGAGCGAAACATTCTGGTAAAGTCGTTACCCAAACCGCAAAGGAGCCAGCCATTTATACATTGGGATGGTCGTTAACCCTTTTGAAGATGGTTTGGCATTTCCGGGCAGACACCCAAAATCCAGCTTCCAGGCTGCTTCCCCAGTATAATATGATACCAGCAAATCCCACAAGATTCTAAATAGCGAATAAGGTACCGAAGAGAAGATCATAAGAAAACAATATTACAGAAATAAATGTTCAGCTTGGATCTGCAAGAGCATAAACTTCATTTGATTTTCAGCTGTCAATAAGAAATGACAAATTCCGTCAAGAGTGCCAAAAATTTTTTCCTACCCAAAAGAAAGTAAAGAACGAGCTGGCAAATGCACACCGTGACGGCTGAAAGAAAAACGTATTTTAACTATAGTGACGGAAAAGGATGTGAAAAAAATTTCGTCTTCTACGTCCCTCGACAAAAATAAACCACCGTCGCTACCTTAGGTCCTTTGGAACCAATGATGTCGTAATTGATACGAAAATGCGATTTTTTTTTTTTTTTATCGAAGAGCAAAATCCTTTTAATACCCTTCACTCGCCTCTCTGGATAAACGCGTGATTCCAATTTTCTCTGTGTCCACGCCAATGTCTTATCCGTCTCTTTCTCCAAGCTTTATTTCCACATCGCTCCCTCTACGTTCCTACGCCAATGTCATTCACTCCCTGCGTATCCCCTATGCGCACTACGACTACACCGCTGAGACCCACCTAACACAATTTCGTCTCTGTAAAACACATGATCTCAACTCTGCCTAGGTAGAATTTACAGGAGACGACTCCGAGCGCCATCTACACGGTATGACCGTACTAGTACGGAGGAAAATCGCCACTGGCGCATCGTAAATTTACAAAGAGCATTAATGTCCTTTTCACGTAACAGATAGCAATATAAATAATCTCATTTCTCTGGATCGTTAAGTATAACAATCGGATCGTGATATTCCTTGAATATACATATTTTTCTAACGAACTATAGAACACGAGTGCTACGAATATTTTACGAGTGATTCGTCACCCCCAAAAGAACACGAGTAAAAAAACTTTGCCAAGCGCCGTGAGTTCTTCTGAAAAAAATGTATTAGAAATCATATTATTAATCACAACTCCACAAAAACGAGAGCTCTAACGGAACCTATTAGAAGAGACGATAGCTTAACAGATCCTGTCGATTTTTGAGGACGAAATTGAGAAACGCAACTGTAGGTGCTGATCTTTGGGTCGTGTAAAATCAGCAACCGCGACCGGATGCACGAACTAGAGTGAACGATTACGGAAATGCACGGGCGCTCAGGCTGCTCGGTTGAGGTAGAGAGGGTCGGAGTAAGCGTCAGGTAAATAGTGCCAGAAACAAAGAGCAACTGATCGAGAACGTAGCAGACCGAATCGGAGCTATAAAATCGAAATCCCTCCACCGATTAATAAATTGGGAGTCCTCACCGGAGCTGGTTCAGCTGATCCGTCAAGGCCGAAAACTGCATCCAGGGAAAACTCAGATGGGCACTGCACTATAGCACGGCACTGCATCTCCGAAAAACACGCATAAAATCGATAGGATTTTCTGAATACAGCGAGAGCAACGCGAAAACTACGCAGACGAGAACTTTTTATACCGGATGAGAAACACAGCTAGAAAAACTATCAACGAACAGCCCGGAAACGCGAGGCAACTCGAGGCATCCCGATCGGTGTCCCACGACAGACTGTTTTGACAACAGTCAAATTCGTCAACTTCCTCATAAAGAAAATCATTCTGATTGGTCGAGATCCTAATAGCCGATAGCTCTTATCCTCGAGTCGTCCCTTTAAACCAAATCGAGAGCGTTCCTTAGGCGACTCGAAGAGAATACAAAATCGAGAACGTTATCTGTATCGGTAGCCGGAGTCGTCTTGTGACCATGAATCGAAAAATCACGTCACAGTACCTACGTCACTACATGTTTGCCTATTGTCATATTCTTTTTATATTTCTTAACTTATGCTTTATGTTTGCGATACATCGGCATTTCAGGAGAATAAAATTTCAGAAATTTGGGTTTCTGACCATTAGCTAAAATCACTGATTTACCTTTATGTTATATGTATGGTATACTCTACATATCAGAAGCGCGCGGCACAGATTACACGAGCATGTCTAGTCCACATCATTTCTCAATACTTTTTCATCACAGCGCTCCTGTACTTGGCATAGTTTTTAACACGTGCTTTTTTGTGGGCATATCACAAGTTTCCACTGCACAACGGGATATATTAAAGAAGTTTCAAGCAGTCAAATTTATATTATTACAGATATCCATTTTTTTTTAGAAATATATAAAAAATATACAAATTTTAAAAGAAAATATAATCTCGAATGCAGGTAAGCGTCATTAACCGTGTTCAGCTTGTTGACGCCGTGTGGCAAAGCTAAGAGAAAAGAGGTTTCCGTATTATTTACATACCTCAGGCCGTGCGAGCAACAGAGAGGAGAATATTGTGATGGAAGCGAAACGTCAAAGCGTCGCTAGCTGCGTCCTTCTCGCACAGCATAAATGCGAACGAGTCGGCAATACGACGCGAGGTTTGGCCTTTTGCTGGCACCATAGTTCTATCTTCGTTCCACGCACAGCCCGAGGTACGTAAACAGTCACCGTTCACTCACCTCTCTTACGTCACCGCACGGCGTCCACCAGCAGGACGCCATTAATGACGCTCAGCTACACGACGTGCTCAGTCGCGTCTTGGCTGTACCGCCGGTTGCCTAATACTAGGCGCGAGACACTACCGAGACTCTTGATGTCATTTGTATTTTTCATACCTACTTTTGTCTTGCTGCGATCGACTCTCTCTTTTTCTCTTTAAAATTCCTTGGATTTTCATTCCCTTATACGAATTCCCTCGCGATCGGAATGCTCGTGAATTTTTATAAATTTTTTGTAAGTGATTATACGACCAATATATTTATCAGTATTATCAACCGTGTACTCTCATTTATCGGAGTCGTTGAAGACGATGCTTTTAACCCGACGAATACAATTTTCCAAATGAAAAAACTTTGATTAAAGGAAAAAACCCTATGACAATTGGGAATGAAACGCTTTTCGAACGATTTATATTCGTGTTATCGACACCTAACAGATTTCTTCCTTGTCGATCGGCCGATAAATCCTTTGTGGTTTTCCTATGTCGTATTTTCAACTCGTTTCAAGATGCGCCTGGCCTGTCGACGGATTTACTACTTGTGGATGCCATGTGTCACTGTTAACCATCTAGAAACAACGGCGTACCTGAATTTACGAAAATATTATTTCCACTTGGCGCTATGGTAAAAGTCTTCTTATATCAGAGAGAAAATCTTCAAAATCGACCAGAGCTCTGTGTAAAATGTTCCGACTTCCTCGCATAACACTATATAACATGGGATGATAAATGGCTGACACCTTCGGAAATACCAGGACATAAACCTCAGGATATTTTTCGTGCTTCTTTTTATTATCGATACTAAATAATCTTTTTTCCTTCTCCTCTGTTGGTTCTTCGGAGTATTTTTAGCCTTTTATTGTAATATTTTATCGTAACGTTTTACTGAAATATTTTATCAATGACTGCACTGTTTACTTTTTTTTTGTTTTTAGGAAATTGATACATTTTTGTGTCCAATTATTCCTTCGGTCCTTTTTATTTTCTGTCACCTTTTATCGTTATACTTCGAATCGTCTTTCGTTTGTACAGTAACAGCTGGATTTAAAAATCCAAGCATATAATCAGCTTTTTTTATCAATACATTTTTTTCCCAATTTTATATATTTCTTCCTCGAATGAACTTCAACTCTGATGTAGGTATCGCTCGATCAAGATATGCCCAACACTACAATAAGATTATGTCCTATTATTCGGATATTTTGTTAAAGCATTTCTTTTTAGTCTACTTTTTTCCTCCTTTTTCTTCGTCCATCTACCCGGGCTAAACTTTTTAAAAAGACTCTGACATAAAAGCAAAGTATAATGTAAATACCTACACACGTCCCACTTTCGCCATATAAGAAAACATCAAGTATACCTGAAACGCGAGTTTTATACGTTTAATTACATTTTTTTTCAACATTTTCAACGCCCACCCTTTAGTCAAATAGTTCAAAGTTCACCACCCACGTCTCATATGAAATGAATGGTTGTACGAAAAGCAGCTACAAAGATCGAAATTGAACCAGGTTGAACAGAGTTCATCATGGGTCGAACGTACACAGGTACGAAGAATAACCTGAGACTTTAAAGTAGCTTGTAAGAGGGGGGTCAGGGGTCAGAGTGCAAGAGAGTAAGTGCTCACAGTGTAGGGTTGTATACGAAAGCAGCACTAGTGAGAAACAACCGCCCGTCCCGATATACCGGGTGGGCATGAATATTTCAGTCGGCGTAAGTGTTTCTTGCTGAGGCTGTAGACGGTATTTCAAGTTTAACAAGCCGTTTGAAAAGTCTTTGGCAGTCCAATCCCTTTCTATGGATAATTGCTGTTGTTTTCCACTTTTTCCAAAATATTACGGTATACCGATTGCGTAATGCGGTATTAAAATATTGGCCATTCGTTTCACACGTCTTTTACGAATTTTTCATTGTTCGTCCAGGCTGACGCATTTTCAATCTGCCCATTTTAGCTGCCTTAAGATATTTTCATTAGTCATCTCCTTCCAAGGATGAAATTCGGTCGTGTCCCGAAACTCATCTTTCTTAGGCATATAATATTTACAGTCGAGAATTACCCACTGTTATTCGTCTCTTTCCTTTCCTCGGTTTCTGCTCATATATAGATATATATAGTGTATGTACGTACACGAAATCATATAGTCGGTGTGCAGTAACGTTGGCAATTTCGTTCCTGTGAAAAGGCACGGGAGGATCCTAAGGCGCCAATTTTCATTTAGCTGACAACGACGTCCCCGAGGAGACTTTTTCTTTTGCAGGCCGAATCAAGAGGACAGGAGCGTAGCGTCGTATATTTATGCATTTCATAAGAAATGAAAATGAAGGAAACAAGGGACGGAGAGAAATAAAATTTTATAAATTCGTCACTTTTACTCGAAACTTTGAAACTCCAAAGTCCTGTCGATTGAAATCCGTGAACTCATGGTAAAAATAATATATAGGTATTGAATATCGGGATAAACAGATGCCCGACTGCTTTTACATACAATGTGGTCGTCGAGTATTACCCGTTGAGGGTTGAACAAAAAATTAATTTCTCGTATCCGAGATAATCAATGTTTCGAATATTCGCGCATGCACCATGTTGAAACCGTAAATGCCTTATGAGCCTTTGCAAATGTTTCCGGTGCTCGATATATGAAATATGATTTTACACGTAAATTTTTATCCACGTGTCTGTGCTTCGTCCAAAATTTGTCATACGGATTTTCATTATTAACTTTTCAAATACGATTCGTGCCCAAAAACTCAAGATACATAACACCGTCTAACTTTCTGAAACTACACGTGACGTAACTATGAACTTGATAATCGTGCTTCTGATAATTTGCCAAGCTCGCAACAAACATAACTGCCTACCCGATATTAATTGCCGTTAACGTCGTACTTTCCGCCATGATTACTTCCCGTCTTCGAAGCAACAGATATCGTCGCGATCGCAATTTATCGTATCGAAAGATACGTTGAATTGAATAACGAAAAAAAAAAAAAAAACCTAGAATTAAGAATGTTCCAAAAAATCAATAAAAATTTATCCATAACGAGCCGTCAGTCTTAATGACCAAATACGAATTCACACGTGCGTACGAGGTATCGCGTAAAAGCAGAAAAAAAGGGTAAAGAAATGAATATAAAAAAAAAAGAAAAAAGAAAAAAAAGAGTCAAGAATAGAATGTTACAGGAGGACGCGAGTAAATACAATGGGAAGAGTGCCGGAAGTGCCTCAGCGGCGGAAGCTTTCGATCCATTACTCAATCCCCTTTAATCCTGAAGAAGCGGGAGAAAACCTTTTATTCCGAACTTACGAGGTTCTTTTTGAGAGCGCAGGGGCTGAGCACCGTAGTGGCCCGTTGCCTTCTGATAAGTCTGCTCAGTCGCTGAGTCCTCTGAGCGCAGGTTAGCGGCTCGCTATCACGAAATTCGTCAGGAGCCAAATTTTCCCGAAGATCGAGCTCGAGGTCTTCCGGTTCACGTTCGATCGGCGGACTCTTCGGGGTAACCGTACTAAGTGGTACCACCTTGGCGATCAGAGTCTCGCTACGAACGCTCCAATTGGATCCGCCATATTTTTTCAAGTTCATCAGGTCCCCGATGCTGCCCCGGACCTGATTGGCCAGCTGAAGATTGGTCCTGGACAGGGCCGGCGAGTGCGGCACGGACTCGGAACCTTTTTCCGTCGACCTCACGATGTCCGGAAGTGTTCCGCTGCTCTGAAGTTTGTCAAGATCCGACAGGGATGAGCCACGACGTATCCTGTGCCGTGACTGAGCACATTTCTCTTTGAGAAATCGTTCCTTCTCCCGGTTTACACTTTTTGACGATATGGATGACCTCATGGCGAACAAACCGGCCTTCAAAGGGAAGAGCAATGCCCACTCGGTCGATCTGTCCCTGTTCTCCATCATTTTAGGCTGCGGACGCTCCTCGGATCCGCTTTCAAAACCACTTAAGCTCCCTCCACACGCGAATCAAATACCACAATCGGCGTCCATGTGAACCTGACTTTACACCATGAAAATTCGACAACTCGAAGTCTCAAACTGAACAAACAAAATTCTTCCGTAAACGAAAAACTGCACGTGGAAATGCCCAGTCGACCGCTTACTGGTACCACCAGGCCATTCAATGCCCGCGACTTTATCACAGCGATAGGTGACATCCGGTTGGTCAGCGGGTCAACCACATCCTGGCCGTATCACGTGCGTAGACCGATACACCATGGGACCATTCCACAAGCGTTGTTCCTCTGCGAGCGAGGTCGAAGAGAAACCGAATAAAAAAAAAAGAGTCAAAGCAAGCTCAGAATAACGATCTAGCACATTGTCGAAGAGCCTGGTACAAGAGCGAAGAACGAAAAGGAACGCGAGACTCGAGTGACGATGAACGTTTGAAGAAGGCTGGCCAGTCGAGCTGATCCGATAGGAGTCAACCTAGTCCTTTGCCACATAGACCTCTCACAGGTTTTTTCACTTAAGTTAACACGACCCCCCTGCAGCGATCTAGTAAGCTCGCAAGAGCCTCTCCGCACTCAGGCCAACGGTACCGCGACACTTCCGTCTAATAAAAGCTAATAACGATCGATAATTGTATTTCAGCGGGATAGCCAACGCTGTAATCGAATAGCCGGGGATAGCACTAGGTAATTTTCAACTATTTTACTTCTCACACAATACCAACAAATATACGTTCCTATCCTATTGAAAATCTACCGCGGCGCCAGTCACTGGTCCCAGCCGAAGACAAAATAAGAGTTCCCAGTGACACCTCGAGCTTCCATATCAGCTGACGCGAACACGAGGACGGTATGTAGGAGTTAACTGATTAACCAGTGCGGGAATCGAGACCTTGCCTTCAAGGTGATAACGGCAGTCTCGTTATACGGGCGACTGATTGCTGCATACCGAGTCTGCCCTAGATAGATTGCCCGAGGTCCTTCGCATGTCCCCAATGTCCACGCACGTCCATAAGCTTGTCCTCCTGACACTCTGTGCTTCTTAACGAATTACGTTATTTCTTTGAATAACAATTAAAAGTGACGTTCCAGTAGCTTCTTCTTGTAATCCATAATGCTGGAGAGCTGGAGATATCGATGGCGCAAACGCCTATCGAGTATGATATGTCGGTAATGACTATCAAGTAAATTCCATTTACGATGATAGATATGGATACGTCAAGTGGCAGGATGAGGTACGTCAGGATTTAATCGAGAGTAGGTACCACTTTGGAGATGATACTTCTTGCTGAACAGGAACCTTGGAAAATAATTATAAAACTCATAATGTAAGGTTTAAGTAGCTGGATATGTCCCATTTAGATGACTGGACTTTACATTGGTACGTACATGAAATCCGATCCTGAGAATTGAAGCTATGGATGGGAGAATAGCAAGAAGCTCGAAGACCTTTTTAGTCGTTAACTCGTCTAGGCGTTTCTTCAGGTTCCCGATGGTCATTAAGGATATACCCCTTGCCTTGTGTACCCATGCGTCCGCTCCTATTGCACTTGGTTCTTTCTCCCTTGGGAGAGAAATTGGTTAGAAACATCAATCTGACTTTAAAGCTGACGACTGCCTTGGAGAGACGCGTCGTAGACGAAGGGCTCGAAATTTCGAGGATAAGTGACGAATTGAGTTCCGAGCTCTTTGGGCTGCAATTCTACTCTCGTAGAGATTAGAATCGTATCTGGTCTGGTTAGCTGACAGATGCGTACTTCAATTCGGAAAGCGACTGACAATCATTGGTCACGTGCTTGCGCTAATGGAAGATACATGTCGGAGTGGGCTTAACCTTGCAACGTGGATGCAGCTTTGGAAACGGCATTTAGGATTCCTGGGAATATTTGCCAAGGTAATGATCTTGTTAATGGGAATGGATGCTAAGTTTTTGAAGTGGCTTTGAGAAATTTTGAAAATTAGTTGTGCTCGCTTCTTGGCTCGTGGCATCAGGAAGGATCTTATAGGCCAAGAGGTCGATTGTGTAACTCAAATGTAGTGAAAATACGAAAAGTAAATAGCTGTTAGCCAATCGCGTGTTAGGTTCAAAAGAAGACAAGCTCAGCGATTGGCTAACAGCTATTCACTTTTCGTATTTTCACTATATTTGAGTTACACGATCGACCCTCGGGTCCAAAAGTATACTTTAAGACGTTTGAAAAATAATTTTTGGTTTGGTTTAAGACCACTCTTGAGCTTTGGGTGGGTAGGCGGGTACTTGTTAGATGATAATCTCAAGTTTGTAGTTATGATAAGAATTTAATTAGCCTAGTACCAAATTTAGCGGCGGTGTTAAAATATTTATTCTGCAAGAGAACATTGAGGCTGATATTATGATTATGGAATAGGGAGACTCGAGCGAGTTGACAGTAGTTTGAGTCTCAAATTGTCGGTCGTGTCCAAAAATAACGATTGGGTTGAAAATGGTGTTAGCGAACCTCATTTTGAATCTCAAGATTCTATTTTCGAGGTTGGAATAATATACGTAATTTCGAGCTGAAGATCCTAACTAGATTTCAGTAGAATCTTTAGGCTAGGACTCGTGTTTACCATATGTATACATGAATCTTAGCTAATCAATAATATTTCCAGAAAGCTGCTGGACCTAATCTGTGCTTACGAACTCTTGCTGAACCCAGCATCGGCCTCAAAGTTCTGGCAGGATCTCGTAGGCTGAAATTGGTGTTACACTTTAATCGGCAAATCCAAAGAACAAAGGAACGGAAGTTGTATAGGCCCAAACCTATGCTAGATTTTCGACTTGGCTAGGTTTTGGATGATACGAGTTAATGATCTTGTCACGTTGATGAACGAGTGCTGGATTATTAATTAGAGTTGGATATGGAAAATTAATGATGTAGTACCGAAACGACTACTTGAGGGAAATTATGGAACTATAGCGACCCTGACCGATAAACTAGGAATCTGTTTTTTTTTTTAAATTACCAAAGATCGATTGCTCTTGATGGCAATTAACAATGTCGGAGGGATTTCGCATGTTTCTACGAAGGACCGAGAAATGCGGGCCGATTGTCGACGGCAAGGCGATTTTTCGACAGTGATTCACGATCATTCGCTAAACGCTGAATCGCTTCGGTGAATAAGAGACGTAAACGAAGTACAGCGTGTGGATAAATAAGAAATAAAAGAGAGGAAGGATAATAAAGACAAAAATATTCCTTTCAAATAAATAACGAATTTCCTCAGTCGGTAAGAAGCGACCCTACCTTTGGGAAAAATTCGATTATTTTCCATAATAGATGAAAACGATAAAATCCTGCATAATAAACTCTCAAATTATCCTAAATTGCCAATAAAGTTCGCCGAACGGATAACGAAATGCGCAATCTTATTCTTGAAGTATAAAAAAAAAAAAAAAAAAAATTAAGATACAAAGCCACTTACGTTAAGCTGCATGATGATTTTATTGTAGGCCCAACCCCATCGCTGTCTCGCTGTCATTTCCGTTCTTTCCTTCAACTGCGTTGGTACGGGTGCTGCGCCGACCAGGTTTAAAAGTTCCTCGTCTCCTGGAGGTTCAGGTGGACTCCTGGGTGGTGTGTCCATCTGCACGCTTTCCTCCAGAGAAGCTTGTTTGGTGACGCTCCCTGCGACAGATAACAATGATCACGATAGAAACTCCAAAGAAATTATTAAATCATTGAAAATCATTTGTTTCAATAACTCCATCTCACCTGGTGGACTGTCCGAACGTGAAATAGGAGGAGTTCCCTTGTACGGTTCCACAAGTGAATTTTCCCGTGAGACTCGTATAAGCGCCTCTTCGCCCCTCTCGTACCTAAATCATCATGAAATTAGATTTAAAGTTTTTATCAGCTCTTACGTATCCATAGTTTATTCAAAGAAACGGTACTAACTGTATGTAACAATGATTACCTCTCAAGAGTCTCATCACGCATCTTGTACTCCCCGTTGACTGTGTTGCTAAGTACAATCTCAGGCTCATTGATCGATTCCTGATCATTGAAATATCCTCGCTGATAACTTTCGGCTCTTGAAACTGGCTGAAGTGCGTTGAAATTCTGTCCATAAGAACTGCCACGTGTCAGTTCTCTCTTTTGATAGGAATCCGTTCTATTCAGGGGCGGCTTAAAGCCCTCTTGATTGATAGAGGAATAAGAATCCTTTCTTGTAGGCTGAGTAAAGGAATCCTTTCTACCGGGAGCAGTATAAGGCTCATCTGCAAAATGATCCGAAGCGTAGGAGTCGCCTCGTGTTAATTTTGGCTTCTGAGAGTGATTGGACTGTTGGCTAATCTGACTTTGATGAGACATTTGCGAATCCTTTCGATGAACCTCCTTGGGCTCGATTTCTGGATACTCCTCGTCGTCCATAATATCCTCATGGTAAGAGTCAGTCCTTGCTAAACGTTTCCCATTAGCCATAACCGTTGTGTGAACTAAGGCAGTTGTGGTTACGTTTGCACTCACGTGATTAGAGGTCATGTGATTGACCATTGTCGTTTGACCTTGAACAGGAGCTTGAGGAAAATCTACTAAAGTGGCCGCAGCTGGACTGGAGTCCCCGGCTGTGGAATACTCGGAGAAGGCTTTGCGTTGTTGACTACTACCAACCGAACTGACAGCGGTATCAAAGGAATCCTTGAGCTCATCGTCCCTAGATTCTAGGGAATCTGTATTCTGTTGCAAAAGCGGACTGGCTTTACCCAGTTTCTTAGTTCTCGACGAACTTACGGATGAGACTTCTTGACTGTCCTGGCTGGGATAGAAATATTCAGATTCACCGGAAGGATACCCGTTTGTCCTCGTTTGACCTTTTGGCGTCGTAACTGAGAGTTCAGGCACCTCGCTCTGTCTCCTACCAGCGTGAGCTACCGTAGGTTCATTGTAGTGACTGTCGTAAGATTCATTATAAGAATCGTCATACTGTTCTCGATAGTTCTGATACTGATCGGAGTATGTATCCTTATAAATATTCTCTTCCTGGTAATCTACCTTCTCCTCTTTGCTATAAGGTACTTGATAATCACTAGTATCCTCCTGCTGCTTCATATATGACTCCTGATAATCATCCGATACCGATACTGGAATCTGCTCGTAATTATCCTGATAACGTTCCTCGTAACTCGTGGACGTGGTGACATTGTATTGCGAATCGTATTGATCCTCCGAATATTGATTATAGACGTCGCTAGCTTGATTGTTCTGATCATACGTTGTAGATGATACGGAAGTCGGATGCTGTGTGTACATCTGATTATTCTCATCGTAATCTGGATAATTCTCATGTATCCTCGTCTGTGATCGATCGTACTGATTCTTTGCCTCCGTGAACTCCTGGTCTTTCGTGTAAGCATTCTGATAAGATTCCTGATAAGGCTGTTGATACTCGTCCTTGTACGAGTCCTGGAGATATGTATCTTCCACCTGCGGCGCTACGTATCCGTATCCTACTTGATCGTAATTATATTGATCCTGAAGCGAAGAGGAATAATTTTCTTTACCCGACTGATCAAAACTATCTTGATAAGCAGGATCGACGTACGAATCCTGCGGCAGATTATCTTGACTATCGTAAGCGTAGTTATAGTCTTCGTTGAATTCGGACTTCTGATAATATGTGTCCTCGGCATTCGACCAGGTCTTCGGCAGCTGTCTTCCCGGCGTAGCAGGAAGAGACGTTGGTTTACGACCAAGAATAACGCTACTGGGTTTCGTAGGGGTCGGTGGTAATTTTTTCCCCGTTCTTTCCATTCGTGGCATCGGCCAATGCTGAGACTGCAATGCCGACCGACGCCGCGAAATTTGGCCGCTAAGTAACAAAACACAAAATCTTCATAAGTTCATTCTTAAATTTACCTCGACACTCGAATACTTCTGATCAAATTTATTACTAAATTCTCAATTAATACCTAGGATCAACCTCCTCTGAATCATAGCTACGCTGCCTCTGAAACGCAGGTCTGAAGTCTGGCCTATGGATCCCGATAGTCGACGACGGTCTCCGAGACAAACTCTTCCGGTTCCGTTTATTTTCATAATACGTGCTACTTTCTGAGTACCACTTCCCTCCGCTATCCCATTGTCTGTCTTCGTCATCCTGACCATATCTAAAAATCATATATACCCAACGTTATGTAAATCACTCCAGTTACGTACGAATGCAACGGGCTCTTCCAGGATCCATTAATTACTTACCTCTCATCTTGATAAACGTATCCCGTAATGCTATCGTAGTACTCGTTGTACCGGATATCCGTTTGGCAATCAGGATAAGTGGCGCTCATCTTTCCGACATGTGTATCAGTTCCATATTCGTCCGTCATGTAGTGCGAGTGCTCGTCGTAGAGTGTCGTCTGCCTTTCCAAGGATCTTCTTCTGTGAGTAGCTGCAAAACAGTTCTTCCTTTAATCGAACAATTCAACAAATTCGATATGATCAATCAATGTATAATCATCCTGGAGACAGTACCTCTTTTCCTAGAAGATATGCTTGTCGTGGTACCAGGATAATACTCGGTGTCACTAAAAATCCTGGTATCGGTATCGATCCTCGCTGGATAATCATAGCCCTCGCTGTACCAACCCTCCTGACTGAAAATATCAAGGATTTATTTTAAAAAAAGTTTCATCAATCTTTTAAATCTAATATCCACGACGTCTTTGATGAGATGACACGTACAGTCGAAGATCATTATCTCGAGCCAGCTAAATGATTCATGCATTGAAAATACTGCTCTTCTTTTGTCTTCGTAATCTCAAGGATAATTAAACCTTCTTTAACTCCCTTCTAGAACTGATGGGTTTCTAACGATCTCAAGAAACAGGTCAAATCTATTGTGAATAACGTTGCGAAAGAACCGTATGTAAGATGGTGTAAAAATGAGACTACTCGTGTCCTACAGAGTTTGCTATTGCGGTTAATGATCGATGCCGCTGAACATATATCGAGTATTGAACATAAATCTAAACGAATGAGGCTTTGCTATCGATTACTATAATGATAGCCGATTATTGATTAATAACGAACGAGAAGTTACGTGAGTATGTGTGGACGGGAGAATAAAACAAATTCTCACGGAGTTCTGCTTGTCCTTCGTACCTGTCTTCATGATCCCACGTATGCTTCCGTCGTCTGATTCATGGAAAGAAAATAATATACGGTAGAGACGTTCTTGTTAGAGAAAGATTTTTAAGCTACGATCTTCCTTTCCAATATACAAGGTTACTGGACAATTGATATCAATTTTACGAGTTGTATATAGTGTGCTTCATTTAAGTTCTAACTCGAGATGATTCTTGTCACGATATTTTTCTTGGTCCATACTCTTCTTTATTCCCCATTATCTTCGTGTTGCACATATTGGCACGCTGGGTTCACGACTATAAGAAGAAATTGATTTTTAGTTTCAATAGTGCTACCTGTGTTCCTTGTAGTGTCTAGGTCGACTGTTGTAGAAGAGAGGCTCGGAAGACTCGGCACTTGGTTGAATTGAGTATCTAGCTGGTGGACCCTCCTCAGGATAAGGTTCATCGTACCGAGGGCTATGACCTCTGCCACTGCATCCCCCATAGGAACCAGGTGCTAACCTACCACCTACCGTTGGTGGAATCTATAAGGGAGGAAGCAGTGGCTGGGTATGCTTTTTATTAATTATTACAATGTCATTCGTACCTGATGATCGTCTCTCTCGTAACTATTTTCACGTGAAGTCTCTAAAGAACGTTGAGGCGTTGCCAATTGGTTCGCCGCTGTTCGGAATTGGGAAGCTGAGCTGTTCGCACCCTGACCGCCTACAGGGTAATTCAGATCCGAAGTGTAATCTGAATCTTCGGAATAACCAGCTGAAAGAATTCAAAGTAATATTTAATTATGATTATTAAAAAAATAAATAAAAGTAAAACATCATGACATTCGAATAGGATTTGTATATAAAATTTGGCGCCAATTTCCAATTATCATTCGGTAAAATAGCGGCAATAAGTTACCGACAGAGGTATAGCAAGTTAGCCGAGAACAGAACCTGAAGGTAAGGAGGTAACGTCGATCGGTAAAGAAGAGTAACCGTCAACACTAGCGTTTGCTTCTTTTTTGAAATAATAAAGAAACGTTGAAAGAACAAGAATACTGTAGACTGAGAGATTAAAGTGAAGTAAAAGTCATTCGCTCGGATAAGATTAATGGTTTGACTTATCAAAGTAAAAGCAGTTGTTCGACGAGTTGAGAATCGAATAGGAAAGGGAAGCAACAAAAGGAAAAGAAATAAACGAAATGGAATAGGCGAGATACTTGAGTCTACGCTCGCAAGTACTTACAATGGCCTATATTGTAGAGTATCTGTCGGCGTGCCTGTTCTGCCCGTGCCTCCTGGTCCATTGTGTTGTTCAGCATTTCCAGCTTCCTCTGCAGGTCTGCGGCCTCTGTATTCTCCGGGTCTTTCGGACAAAGAACAAATCCTGGTTTAATCTTGGGACTCGAAGGTACGTTAAGAGTTTCTTGGATAAATAGATATTCGAGAGCCGGCGTGCACGGCATTAACTATATCGTGAAAGACATCTTTTGTCACATCGCTCAATGCAAGTTTAGCTTTACCTTAGACGTTACACGCGTATCGCAAGGTACGTATACGATAAACGAAAATAAAATATTGCATGGTTGAAAAAAGAAATGAAAGACTCGTGAAATATCTCACAAAAAGAAATTCTTCCAAGTTTCACCTCGCTTATTAACCCCCTTGCTATTTCACTTTATATAATGCATACCCCGAGTATACTCAAGGTAACGTTCAAGGGGGTTAAAGGTAAAGAAGGTTTGACCTTAGAAGGCATAAGAAGATTAAAGGATGCGACAATCCACGTGCTCTATATATCGGCTAATTCGCATAGTTGCGACGGGTTAAAAACGTTCGCTAGTGAATTAGATGAGGTGTGAAATGGTGCCTTATTGTTTTTCTCACTATAAAAAGAGGTTGAAAAGGGGTAAGGTCATCGTGATGGGGTACTTTGACCTTTGCAGGCTGTAGGGTAACGCTGGATTTTTAATCAACATATTTAACAACTTTCAAACGTACGTTATGAAATAAAACCTTCACGTGCGCCTATATGGATTTGATGTTGAATAAGAGAAAATTAAAATTTACCACTGAATCTACTGGCGGGCTATTTGAATTTGATTAACGGTTTTCACTAACTGGCTAGAAATATCTGTTACCAAATATATCCGTGGGTGTTGAATTTAATTCAGTAGACCATTTACACGTGTTTTCTATCAATATGTCGAGAGTGTGGAGAAACACGATACACAATCCACGCTCTGCTTTACCATTGGAACACACACGTATGTACATACAAATATATACGTTGCTGTCATAAGCGTTTGCACATGGTGCAAACCTGGTAGTTTAAATTATACAAGTTTTCTTTGTACCCCCGTTACGTAATGCTAACTAGTATCAAGTTTCAAAACGCTTCGAAACTTTGTGTACGTCTTTATAACTACCTTCGTTTTCTTCCTCTTAACCGATAACTCTGCAAATCTTCCCATCCTCAAGTATCATATCGATCAGTTTACACCCTTTTATCTTTTTTGTAAAAACATCAAAGTTTGCACTCGCATTATTCCTTGCGAGACGTATTAATCAAGCGGTATATACTATTCAAATTTGAAAAAATATTTTTTCAAAATCACTAATTTTTTTGACAACTAATATATCTAATATATTTATATATTTATTACCAAGCAGATTCTGCCAATCGCAAAAGTCGGTCCGTACCAATTTCATTGTAACTTGTCAAAAATATTTGTGTCACTTTTTTGAGGAATTTTCAAAAAAATCAATTTTTATCTCTCACGCGATTCTCTTCGCGAAATTTTTTTTAAATCGTCAATGTGTCTTCGAAACAATGTGTTTCTGCTTTTGCAAATACGTCACTCTAGCTCGCGTGTCAAATTCAACATAACCTCACTGTTTCGACGTGACCTCCTTTCTTCAGTGATTCACATACGTCTTACTTGACAATTTGCAGTCGGGTATATCGACAAGACAACGTGGTTCAATTTTAAATTCTATAAATGTCATTTCGTCCCTTATCGTTATTTATTGCGCAAAAACATCACAATCTCAAAGTAGTGCCAAACGTACCAAGACTATTTATGCTAATTTTAAGTCTTAATTTATGTCCCCCACAACACGAATACTTAAGGGGATGTTATGATGGATAGGATATAGTATGCTAGTCTTTGCGCCATTAAAAAAAGCCTAGCGTGTTAATTCACGCTTATACTTCTTCTCGGTGACACTGAAAAATATGTTTATATCGTGACTACGTGCACTGTCTGGTGGAAGAGAATTTTATTTTTTTTTTCCTTCAAATTCCAAAAAGAAACGCATACGTACGTTTGAGCAAGTAATGTTTGTATATACTAAAAAATGATAACTAATTGATTAATTGCACGATTCAAGACAATCGTCTTTTTTCAAAATTCACACAAACTGTCGTGCAATAATTAGTAAATTCATGTTTTGTCTAGGCCGTCGTATTTTAAAGTGAAGTAATTTGTACGCTTAGGCACAAAATCATGGTAAAATTTCAAAATTTTTCATTTTTCTCTTTCTTCACAATTTTTTTTAAAAGACGCGTTTCAAGAATTCCTTTTTCAATATTTGACCAAGCAGTAAAAATGATAAGGATAAAATATTTTTTATGACGTCATTTTTATTCATGCATTATCCGTCACTAAAACTTTAAATGCTTTTCTCTCGAAGCACCATTCTTCAATCGTGTTGACAGCAAATAAGAAAAACTATACAGCCAATTAGCACGGTCTTATCTTGTCGAAAAAAAGACCAATATCTTTTACAAGACGTAACAATTTTTTTTTTTTATTAAAGTAGAAAACAAATATTCCCAATATTCCTGCCGTTACCGCCTTTTCGTTAATATCGATTGTATTTTTTATTATTAATAATATCGATATTCTCAATGCATTGATATTATTATTCAATATGCACCCTTCCGGCTATGACAACCGTATATTATTTCGTCCGTCAATACGGATCGAATGCAAAAAGGGAGAATTTTTACGAGAAATATTGTATTATTCCTAGCAGCCATATTTCTTCAATTTGTTTTTCTTCTTTTTTTTTCTTAAGTGTCTTCCATTATTTTCAAGTTCGTCTCTGAGAGGGTAGCTCGCAGAATCGCTCTTCTATAGTTCAAAACTCATAAACGTACACAGCCTACTTGAGTGTCTGCGCGAAACATGTAGGCCATTATAGATATCACCGATACCATAAAGTACCAATCAATTCACGTGAAGAAAGGTAGAGAAATGTTTTATGAAAATATAATTCCGCATAGCCATAATTGAAAAGCAGATTGGTTTTTAACATGAAAATCAGAAATAAGAAATATCCTGTAATAAACAATCCTCACCTAACCTAACCTAAAATTTTCAAGTACAAATTCCTATTTTCCGCATGACGCTGTTAAACGCTCTTTAGATAATTGATAATACGATCGATTAAACAGGACGAAATCAGATCAATAAATTACATCGATCAACGCAAAACGAACCATCGAGTATAAAAATATTTTGCAAAAAAAAACCAAGGAGTAACCATACATGACTCAATAAAATTGAAGCATAAAGAAAAAAAAAGAAAAAAAAAGTGATAGAAAAATAAAATAAAATTTTAAAAATCTGATTAAACCGAGGGTAGATGTGTACGCGTAATTGGAAGATTACACCAAATGCTTTCGGCGAGTAAACTTGCCGTCCATTTAATCCGCGATAGCGTATTAGCGTACAAGAGAATAAGATCGTGAACGGAGAGAGTATGAAAAAACTCAGAGGGTAACGAGCAGTCATTGGACTCGGTTTCCTACTTTACCGGTAGTTTACTCTCCATGCGAGTATCGGTCGCGAAGGATACAATTACAAGAAAGGTCAAGCCGAATGATTAAAGCTCGTAGAGCTCGACTCGATTCACAGATGGCGAGTAGTTACGAAATTTTTTTTCTGAAATTCACCACGAATCGTAAAGCCATCGGCTACTACCCGTTTCCTATAATTTCTTCACCCGTTCGGACCCTAAGGATACTTAAAACCCTTAGCACTGGACCAGTCACCTGTCGCTTGAAGAAAATATATGAAAAATTGAAAAAAAAAAAAAAATGTAATATCACCGCCGCACCTTTTCTTGCACTTTTGGCCTCCTAGCGGATTTTTCGCGAAACGCCCGAAGCAAAGCTTCGCGATCTCTTCGGTAACGTATTTCCTTGCCGGAATAAAGCAATAAAGTGACGCAATAGCCGGGTAACAGCTGCCCTACGATATATTGACAAACTTGAACGAGTCTTCTCGATCGAGCTCCTCTTCTATTTTTCTTTCCCTTTTATTATTTTCTACACTTTCCTTCGGTTCGAGGATTTTGCATTCTTTACGTTGGCCGAAAAAAGGGAGGAAGCTGAGAACGATTGATATAAGCGTCAAGGTATACCTATATGCATATGTGAAAACTTGATAAGTCACACACGAGTATATCGTACATGGGTAAAATTTCATAAATTTGACAAATACATAAACGGTCGAAAACATCGAAAATTTTCTTCCTGCATTAAACAGTGAATCGCCGATCCAACTTATGGCACGAGAGTATTCGAATCGATAAGGTATCTCGCTGTTGCTAAGTTCGATAGCGCGGATAGCGAATGGCGAAGCCCAAGACCGAACGATATAGTCGATGCTCGATACCCGATAGATAGGAAACTGTTAGATGAGAATGATTCGAGGCCGTTCCGAATCCCTTCCATTATACGAGAATCACGGTTTCCCTATGCCACTGAGATTTCATTCTATTGAAAAGGAATTCACGAAAATCCTTAGAAACTCGACGCGTTATCAATTTTAATCTTGTTTTCCTCCCTTATCAGTACATCACTGCGAAATCCGACGAATGTGCGATAAAGATTTTTTTTTAATATTAATTTTTTACCAATATCTTTTTCCTGACTCGTAACGGTATTCCCATGCATCTTCTGATGAGACCGAATACCCATAGGCTCCAACCCCTTTTTTTTCATATTTAGGTAAAATATTGGATCTATAATTTTTTTAAGTATATACCAGTGCATTGAAATTGCAACTATAGTCGATATACGATTAACGTGATTAACACGAGGAAAGGAAAGCGCCGAACTTTATTTTATTTTTTAAATTTTTCTCTTTACCTTTCGACGTAAAGTCACGTTTATCGTTTTAGTGATGCTGCGCGGCAATCGAACAGTGGTAAGGTTCTAATTGTGAGACAGAAGTCCTTGCGGTTGGAAGGAAGAAGAGAGATCAAGAGATAGAAGTAGAAATAGAGACTCAAAAGTAGGGGTAGGTCAAGCAGGGCCAGACCAATTACGTTTACAGTGCCGCAGCCATAGCTCTATGCATCTGCAGGTACCCTCTTTAACTTTGTTAACAACCCCCCACCCACCAATCACACCCCCTTTACAAATATTATCGATTATCTCACGTACCCGATTTCCCACCCCTATCGCTAACTTTCAATTTGGGCAATTTGCTCGCAATTTCAAAATCCAAAAAATTCACCCTCTTGTGCTATCGCCGCGCCACTGCTTCCACGTGCTGTGCTATGTCGGGAAGTGATTGTGCGTTATAATTTTTTTTTTTCAATGGTCAAACTTTAAAAATTTTGCAAAAGGGTCACGGTCGAAATAATTTTTGAGTAAAACAATAAAGTCAAAATATAAAATGCAAAGACGTACCTATATTCTTTTAAACTGTTAAATAATTTGAAAAAAAAAACACATCCCTGATGTATAGAAAAAAAAGTCTTGCCATTATTTCTTCGGCGGATTTTACATATAATTCGTTCTGGGCTAATTTCTTACCTTTTATTTCATACAGAAATATTATTTCGACCATTTACCAGCATCGAATGCAAAAATCGTATTTACCAGCGACACGGGCACCTGCTAACACTACCTCGGACGTATCGCACAAGGCTGTTGCGCCAGCGCCCGTTTTCCGGATAATTTATTACGCTTTAATGCAAAATACCTCGCGAAATGTTTCACCGTAGAAAAGGGTGGGCTAGTCTATTGCAAGAAAATTTAGTTTACCCTCAAAAACGAGGGTGAGGAGGGTGTCTACAGCGTGCTTTACTCGGATCTTGAGCGTTCGATGTCGATATACATATACATATGCCCCATACAATGAAATAAGTTAGTTCGAAGAAGAGATCGAAAAATTTGAGAAAAAAAAGCAGATAGCATCGAAAAGAATTTTGAAAAAAAACGGACAAGGAAAAACGACCAAAGTCGGTCCTTTCAAAGAACTTTGAATGACCCGTGCGTCGAGAGTGGTTTTCCGAATGGAAAAAAAAAAAAAGAGGAATTCGGTCCACCGCACTCTCGATGAATCAGGTACACACGACACAAAAGATAGTGAAGCTGATAACATCGAACATCTCCATCAGGCTATATTCACACGTTTAACACGCAAAAATACACACAAGGCACGCACAGATACCCGCGGCACAGAAAACAAAAAAAAAAGAGAAGAAGAAAATAGGTTTTGTCGGAAGAAGTGCAGTGCGCACGTGTCTCTTTGGAAATTGATCGACAAGTCACCAGTGGGAGGTTTCATCGTTGGTCTCCATTATTCATGTAAATTTCCTGCATTTACGATTTACCTTACGAGGAACGATCGAGCGATCGAGTCTAATTAAAATATGAGAGGCCGAAGGTCAGGGCTGTGACACTGAAGAAAAATCTAGGTATCGCATAAGGTAACCTTGACGAAGCAAGTTCCAAAGGGCACTTGAAAAGAGAATTCTCTGGTGCAGTGGCTGGCGAGCAAGGAGGGGTTGGTACCGCTAAGTACGTTCAGCCCTTGTTTCCCGATCCGTGGACGCAGAGCAGAGAGACGGTTGATGACCGATACGAATGACTATGTGCTGTCAGTTAGAAAGTTGAAGTGAAAAAAATATTTTGAAAAAAAAATTTTTTTTTCCAATCCCCATAATTCGTACGGGGCAATCGTTCATTATCGATTGTCAATAGTGTCTCCACGGATCGGTCCACGGCCGAAAAGGTTTAACCGGGGATTTCGAGCGAAGAATTGATGATTTGTCGATCTGATGATCTTGAGGGTACCTGAGCCACACGTGGGCCGGGATGCTCGCAGCTTCATAGCCGTTTCGCTTGTGAGCAGGGCTTTCCATCCGGTCGGCGGATCGCACTTTCCTGATCATTCAACGAACACGATCAGATTGTCGATCCTAAGACGCGAGATCGCGGATCCTATCGATCTCATGTCGATCTCAGACATCGCGAATTCAAATGTATACGCGAATATATAAAAGGTTGCGTGGAGCGATTCCAAGGATAGAAATATTTTTTTTTTAGAAATTTCAAAAATAACATGAAAATTCTAGAATTTCTTTTTTTTTTATTTTATACGAAACATACTTTTCTATAATTCCCACTGTGCCTACCTTTACGGTTTATTATTATTAATTCGGAATGAATCGATCACGTATACGGGATACATACATTGCGGCAAAAAGTGGTATACTTAATATATATTTCGTGAAAAAAAAAATATATATATTTTTTCATTATATTCCATTTATTATATTTTTTTGGAGGAAGTCGAATCGTAATTGGCATCTAGACGTCCAAATAGGCCGTGCGTGTTACGTGTTTCCCGAGGATCGAGAAAAATGAGAGCTTTCGTGATATCCGAGAAGCAATTAGTCAAGTAAGCCCCAATTAGTGTGCTACCCTTAGCCAGTTGTCCAACGTACGCTATTATTAATACAGTCGTATTGTGCGCAACTCGTGGAAATGTTGACCGATCATTTCTTTATGTGCACAGTAAGTACGGATAAAATTGGTTCGAGGAAAGAAAAGCGAAAAAATAAGAGAGAAAGAGAAGCACTGTATTGACCCCGACAGTCGTGATCTACTTTCAGGCCATCCCAAAAGGACATGAGATAAAATTAGACACACTAATGAACGTTACATATTTCAACCTTTTTCCCTCTAATTCTACAACAATGCCTGAATTCGAAAAATTGATAAACGTAAGAATTGTAACAAAAACATTGTACGGTCAGACACCATCGGTACTACGGATAACAAATTGTAGGGTTGCTAAGGATCCGAAAGAATTTTAATAGATAACGGCAATCACTTTTATCTATTTGTTGACCTTGGGAAAAAAAAGGTCCATCGAAGGTAGAAATAATAATGGAGAAATTTCAATAAATTTATGAATCTATTTAAAGAACGATATCTTGTCAAAGGTGAAACGTGCAGTTTCGGTAAATGAAAAAAAAAAAAAAAAAAAGATAACAATTGAAATGGTGAAAAATTTGTAAATGAAAAAAAAAACTTTCATAATAATTTGCAAGATCTGTTAAACGTAGGAATTGAAAAAGAACAATTAGTCCATATCTTAAAGCAAGTATCTTATTAATGATGGCTGCGGATTGGGTAAGTGGATAGTGATTTATCGCTCTCCTAAGTTCTCCTGAATAAACCATCCAGCCCAGAGGGTTGCCAACTAGGGGAGGCTTCGGCTTTCGGTCGACGTGAATCAGCCTAAGCGTACAACTTGCTTAGAAGCTTGATTTTACCTAGTGAGACCAGAGGAAAGAAAATTCAGGAATTACGATACCAAAATAAACGAATAAATACTGCTAAGAATTACTGGCGGAAGGAAAGTGCGAGAATTTTGGTAATTGTAGAAATCGAAAAAAAAAAAAAAATAATAATAATAAAAAGTTAGAACGTGTCATACAGAGAAGGATGCTGCCCAAGGAGCAGTAACAGGAAGCGTCAAGTATAGAGACGGATTGAAATGTATAAACGGAAAAGTCGAATAACCCAGAAAAGAGGAGACCGAGATAGAAATGAAAATAAAAATAGGAAAGAAGAATAGCGTCAGCAGTATACGGTTAACGTATGGCTCCTTTATATGCCAGCCCCTTTTTCCTTATTTCGCAACACGGTCAAGTGGAACCATCGTGTGACGTAAAATAATTTTCACCTCAGTTCAAATAAGTTGCGCGCTGCTTAAAAGGAAAATTGAAAACGGCTGTAAAAAGGCTGAATTCTCGTTGGATCTGGATCTGTTAATTGCTCTGGATTCAGTCATCCGCAAGCTTGACTGGAACGTTAAATTTTACAAAAAATGTACTGCTCTTGCGTTCTATCCCGCTTACGAGGAAAACGTGAAGAAAACCCTCTGGAAGATTGGGGTGAATTCCGGATTTCATAAAAGAGCTGTAATTTGATGACTGCTTCTCATAACCCTTGGGTGTATCTTGTGACAGTAAGTTGATAAACTTTCCGAGTGGATCGTTCGAGGGAGGAAATTCATGTTGATCAGAAGTAACAGAACGTGTAGAGGTATCGTAGAATCAGGAGGATTTTTACTGGGGAATTTAACGTACGTAAAATACGATTATAGAAATGAAAACAAGATTTTCGTTGAATATTGCATTTTAAATATATTCTTTTTATATAACAATTCCCAGTAGAAATTATAAGCTTGTTTAAGCCGTCAAAATCTTGATTTCTTTGATTAATCAATTTTCCGCTTTAAATCTAATCTCGCTTTTACTCCAAGAAATCCTCTACAGGTAGGACTGAAATTTGCGAATTGAAAGACAGCCAGTTCTAAACTTACATTTGACCCTTTAAATTTTACTAAATTTCTTTACTTTTTCAGCCGACAAATATCTGTTAGGACCTCCAGGGTTATATGGGATCCAATATCGATAAACTCAGTTAAGACCTGGAAGGTCATATTAAATTTTATGAAAATCATTTCAAACCCTGATTGTTCTAAAACGGATATATCTACCAGTCTGAGGTTCAAATTTGTACGTCCAAACCGAGATTACAATTTTGAATCTGGTATTATAGGTTTGATAACGATATTTTATATAATGAATACAAAAAATTGTCCAAGGGCAAATTCCAAAATAAAAAAATTTCTAGATACAAAAAACGATTTTCTTTATTTCAACCGTCGAGTGATATTTATGTATTTTCAATATCCCGTTGCTGACGTTATACTTTGAAAAATCATGCGGAGATGCTGAAAATGAAAAAAAGGAGAAAATTTCGCCTTAGCGTTCAAATAAATTTTCAATATCAAGGAAAAAAGGGGATTGAGTATGAAATTGAGTGTTATCGCATAGAATGCATAGTGTGTGGCCAAATAAAAGATGGGCATGCGCGTGGCAGTAATGTTGTTTACGACATTTAACTATAGCGCCGTGACGTCATGGCTCAGGGTACAGGATTTTCCTCCAATTTCATTGGACTCTTCGTCCTCCCTCTAATAACGACTATTAATGAATTTCCTGTCGTATCATCGCATAATCATCCGAGTACACGTGGCGGACATAGTTGGCAATCGCTCCACGTATCGGAAGACGAATTAACGTAAGTCGAGATCGTCAGGTTATAAAAACAGGTAAAACCACGCCCGTAAAAAAGCCCGTAGATTCGAGTCTTATTAATCGCAGGATAATAAAACAGACATTTGAAAAACACATGGACGGCTTACCGAACGGCAGCTCGAAACGGCAGTCTATAAGAAGCGTATGACCAGTTGGAGATTTGGTGCCGACTACTTCGCCACCTCGCATTTCCAATTCCGAATCCAGGCTGACCCATTGTCCCGAACCGTCCTGTAAATATAACAATTTATTGACCTAACTCTTAGCACAGTAACAGGTTTCTCGCAGTCAATGTATGATTCGTTATTTCTGTTCAGTGACTCGTATCATGCCCACGTATCTCTGCAAGCATGGATACACCCTGAGAGGAGAAATTTTCTTCAAAGACGAAGAAGACTAAAAATTGTTCAATCCTAAGTCTTCGTTCGCCCTCGACTTATCGCCGTAGGATTTAAATGTTAACACGAGATCATGATAATAGTCCAGGTCTCTGGATCTGATCTTGCAATAGGTCCAAAATGAAATTTTCATTAATTTTGGTATTTTTCATCAAATAAATTTTTTTTTCTCATAACGGAAAGTCAAAGGATTTTCAACCGACCCAAGGCTTATTCATTTTGAATTTTGGAATTTTTCGCCAAAACGACGACCGTAGGCAAAGGAACACTATTCGATGGAGTATATAGTATGTTTACATGTACATATATGTAAAAAAAGATACGTATAAAGGGTCTACGACTTACACGGCGTAGATACGACTAACATAATTTTTTGGAATCTTTTCCAAAATTGATTTTCAGTTAACGGCGGCCAAATAGTGGAGACGAGGTCGGTCAATAGTGACAACGTTGAAAGTAGATCGTCGCCACGAAGACGCGCCTTGTTATTACGCAACGCAGGCTCGCGTTAGTTAATTGGCCCGAGGCGGGAAAATTTGAATGTTCAAAGCGAATAATCGAAAAGGTGGAAATGAGTTTGTAATAAGATTTTAAAGTGAGGAAAGTTAATCTATCAATTTTATTCGACCTGCCCTTTGACCTTTTCGCGTTATCTTGATTGTATCTATCAGTTTTGGCAGCAGTTGTCGGAATGGATGACTTTTCACAACCTTTTTCGAATATCGTAACAACTTTTAAACTTTCCTCAAGTTCGAAAAGTCCCGAGCATAAAAAAAAAGTCGCCGCTCGACCTTTGCGGAACCTTTTGGCAGTTGAACTTTTCTCAATTTTGATTTTGCATGAAAGCAAGAAACATTCCCCAAGCACCCGTTTCCATTGAATGGATTTGTTTGTTCCGAATATTGCCCAATGAATTATGATCCTGTGGCAAGATGGCGCACGGTCGAGGAGAAAGGGTGAGAAGGTCAGGGTTTCACGACCGCCTTTCGAATTACTCCTTAGCATTCCTTCTGGACCAACTACGCTCTGGAGATAAATGTGTTGTTCAATTTTACACGGTCCACGTTACTACCCCTAACCGAAACCCCTCCAGGAATACAGAGTAATTAATTTCGAGGTACCACCCTGTGGTGTTCTGTGAAAAAAAACCGCGAAGAAGAGGGGGGGGGAGGCAAAAATTTCATTTACCCTCAAAAAGTGCAGAAAAAAAAAGTCTGCGAATTTTTTGATAAATTTTCCAGAATTATGAATTCGTATTACCTGGTTGCAAATGGGGTGGTGGAATGTGTATACGAAGGAGACAGTGAGAGAAGCCAAGAAACCAGTGCAGATAAAAGCACGAACTGTATATTGTATATTTATTTGAAAAATTTCAAAAATCCACATTTAGTGCATAACGAAAAATTTTTTTAGGGGATGAAAATGTGCTGAAAAATTTAACTAAGGAAAAGCGAGAGAGAGAGAGAGAGAGAGAGAGAGAGAGAGAGAGAGAGAGAGAGCCGGTATTATCGTCAGGCCAGGATTAATGACAAGCCCCCGGAGTAAGGGTTACTTTAAACGGAAACGAATGACCTCGAACAGGGGTGGCCCGTTCACAGTCCCTAGACCAGCTAGAATGTATACCTATTATTAGAAGTCCTAGTAAAGCCGATCCTCCGACCTGGCCAATAACTTACCCACTAACGATATCCGTCCAATCACTCGGCGATGATTCTGCCCGGATAATGACGTGGGGTGAATCCGCGTCAGCTATTTTACATGAAATCAACTGCCAGCATCGCGTCAGTCGTCACGCTGACGTTCCCTTTCCAGCAGACCTAAGTTAAAATCTCACGGGAAGCAAATTAGTCCAGCACGCACGTTCGTTCCCCAGATTAGAATCTGTTCCGGCATTCTAATCAGGCTAACATTGAAATCCGCTCGATCTACAAAGACAGACGCAAGGGTTGATTCGAATTTCAAGCCTGGACAAATAAAAAAAATTCGTAGACCAAAAATGGCCATTTTCAGCCCTTCAACCTTAAAACACTAAAATCTTTGTCCCAGATCGTTATAGCATTCTGCCGGAAGTAGATAAGCACAAGGGTCAATTCGGTGGATCCTCGGAACGCGCATGCTGAGAGTTTTAAACAGGAAGACTTTTCCCGCCGATTTTCTTAACCCTAAAATTGCGCAAGAAAAACTAATTTCTCCCGAACCCTTAACCACGTGACCGAAAAAAAAAAGTACGTTCTCCATTACGTAAGTAACGTTCGGGTGGCGTACGTTGTACGAGGTAACAATAACGTGGGGAATATTCCATCCAGGACCGCCTACGTATGACGTAGTGATCTTTGCTCCCAAAGTGGTTAACACTGCGTGGCTGAAAATATGGAGCGGATATTGGAGGATGAACGGCTTCTTCGTCTACTTTCCGCCCACCGCTGTTTGCGTAGAAAGCAATACGGTTACTCTGGATCCTCGTCCGAGATTGCCATCTAAACATTCCTTTCAGAAGCATAACGTCATACTTTGGTATAAAGCTAAGCGAAAGCCGATCTTACTGTATAAGATATACCCCGTGTGACGTCTCAATAGGTATGTGCCAATCGGAACGAGCAAGTAATCCCAAGCCCGACCGGAAATCCCAGACTCACGTATTTCACTATTGGACCTAAGATTGATACCGGACCCAAGTCTCTTTGGGTAGATCAGATTCGGATAATACACTAAACGACGTCGCGACGCTCTGATTACGTTATGACGTGTCAACCAGTACCCGAAGGATTCGAGTCTTGCGACCTCATGATAAGATCACGTCACCAGTCATCCGGTAGTTCGACTACACGCAAAAATACCGTTTGCAGAATTAACTAGGTCTTACAAGCACTTGGACCAGGTCTTGTCAGACTTCAGGAATAGCACAGGTACCCCAGATTCTTTCTTAACGAATATGAATCCTTCTCGGTGAATTCGTCGAGGAGACAGTTTTTGCTTGAAAAGACACGATCGATAAGGGTCGTGCCTCAGTCACGGTCGGAAAGCGACTACCCGAGCCGAGGATCGATCCCGTGAGATTCTTCGGGACAATAATAATTTTAAAAAATATAAAATAAATCACTCGGTCCCGCAGGCACGGTCAACGTGAGACCTCAGAAGCGCTACTGGGTCTACTTGATTAATCGATTCGCAACACGGAGTATTATTCGCTAACTGGTTATCCTGCTTTGCCCTTTCACAAAGGCCTTTTGTTCCAGCAATGTTTACCCTGGCTGGTAATGTAGCGTGCGTCTTTTTTTAAACGAAAAAATGACAAGGCTGGTAAACGGGGGTGGGTGGGATGAGCTCAGCAGAGCCAAGAGTACAGGAAGTCCCAGGGAACAGGATCGACGGGTCTCAATAGCTGAGGACGAGGGGGGTGGTAGGTGCGTGAGAGCTTTGTCAAGGCCCCGAGTAGTTCGTTGGAATGGTCCGTGACGGAGGAGAAAGGGGCAAGGATGAAACTGATGGAAAAGGGTTAGAATTGCGGCTGGTATAGACGGCGATCCGCTACTTGCTACCCACTAGGAGTTACTTGACAAACCTCAGTCAGCGCATTTCTAATACGAATCGAACGTTCCCGGCCGTGTGGATCTCGCGTGTGCGGCTTTATGAATATTTTAAGCCAGACCTGACCCAGATTTTCCCCACGAGATGGAGCCACCGTACCCGTTTCTTCCCATCCTTGCTTGGAGTCCACGTATCTCTCTCCTCGCGACTTCCTGACAAAGACGTCTACTTTCCTACGAAGCAACTCCAGCTGGTCAAACCGGATGTGCCTGAGTGGACCCGAGTCGCGATTAATATTTTCGATAACGATCTCGGTGACAACGTGACTTTTGGTGCTCGGTCGAGGTCGTTGACCTGGAGACGAAGAGAAAAAAAAATGGCTGGCATGTGTTCACGCGTTACACCAATAAAGTTTCCCAACCCCTGCGCCCCTAACGATTCGGCTGTTTCATTGAGCGTCCCGAGTTGGCTTGTTGCCAGGTGACGTCATCGCACGAAGAGGGTCGCGGGGGGTTAAGAGCGATGAGACAGGAGTGCAGAGAGCATGGACGGGTGTTCCCTGGTTTACAGTTGGATCCTCGAGCCAAGCGAAGGACCCGTCACGAACAACGAAATCCTCTGATCTAATTTCTCCAGGAACCACGAAGACGAGGTTGCAGACGAGACTCCGTTCCCACGAGGAAGTAATACTCCAGGAATCATGGAAATGAAACATTCGTCAACCCCGCGATATATTCTCGCCGACCCCGGGGCGTCGGATAAATTCCGATAATCCATCCGTCCCTGGGGAGACTTACTCGATCTTAAGAGCGGATAAGCATGGGACGGTTGAAGCTCTTACGAAAGAATAACAACCTGCCGCTCTTTTCCAATTGCTGCCTTATATTATTGCAAAGCTGAATTCGTTTTGACGGTAGGTTCTTTGGGATTTGGACTCGAAAAAGTTTTCGCTCAACAGTAAAATTTGGACTTGATACTCGAACCTTCTTTACCACTTGCAATTTTCAACCTACGATCGTCTCCTTGGGAGTTTAAGATGCGATTGGTCCGTCGGTAAAACAGGGAATTTAGGATCAGAATGTTGTCAGAATGTCTCATTACGTGCATTGACGGGTTTTACGTGTCGAGTGTGACGTCAGATGAAATAGGGGTAGTGACTGGAATAGGACGGTTGTGGTACTTGACGTGATAAGGCTGAACGGAATCAAGGTTGAGGAATGAGAAAAATAAAGGAATGGACTTCAGGGGCGAAAACGTACACGCAACCCCCTGCCCTTGTTTTGAGGTTGTAGTTGAAATAACGGAAACCAAAACGGTGACGAGGGAATAAGAAGATCGTTTGGTATTAAAAGGGGGGTGTAGAGGTAGGCGGGCGAGTAGAGGGTTGGGATGATTATTAGAGACGGCAAGGCTGAAGGAGGGTGCAGTGGCAGACTGTGTTTAAACGTAGCCTGATATCGACAGGAAGGGATTAAAGAACGAAGTTGATCCCGAGTCGAAAATTTAAGGTTTCCGTCAAACCTTCCAAGGTTGAGCCTATTTTCTTCCTTCTAATATCTCCCCCTCATTTTCCCATCCGTCTTTAACCTCTTCCTCCCTCGCTCGCGATCAGCTTCACCCGCGGTTGAGGGTGGCTGGATTTACCTGTACTTTGTATCAAGTCCGTGGTTACCGTATTTGAGTCACTGGTTCGGAATAACGGGTATGGATAATGATGCGATTTTGAAAAAAAAAATTTTTGATTTTCCATTCGATCACTAATTTTCACTCGTAGTCAACAACAGATCGGATGATGAATATTCTGTGACGAGTTTAGGTATAGGTAGGTCATATTGGTTACGGGAATAATCCAAAGTGATTACGTAGACGATACAGAGTCAGGAAAATTACAGCTACCCAGTCCCATCCCCAGGCAGGCATTGACGTTAATAATCTTAAAATTATCGACCAGACCGCTCCGATTATCGGCGCCAGTCTGAATGAGACGTTTAATCGAGGTCGATGAGATCGTTCGCTTGGTTTTACCCAAAAAATTCCTCATTTCAACAATATATATATTAGACCCTGAGAAACCCCGAAAAAATTAACACGTCATTCCCCGAAAGCCTCATTTTTATAAGCGCTTCGAAACGTCGGGGAGAAAACAGTGGCCAATTACGAGGAGTCTCCTCTAATTCCCAATGAAACTTGGAGAGCAAAAAATAATACTAATTAAATTGCTTAAAGCGAATACGTATTTATCATTGAGGACCCTAACGGCAACGAGCAATTAACATTTTTATATTCGTTATTGCCGACTTCTAGAATGTTCGAGACTCGACGAAACGCACGTTCTTAAATACCTACGGTGAGTATCGGCGCTGCTGAAGGAGCAGCTTTTAATTGATTCCAGAGAAAATGCTGTGCCAGGGGGTCATAATGAATGGGGGGGAAAATGAAGGAAGGGAGCAGGGGAAGGTAAAACGGAAGTAGGATTTGGTGGGTGACAGGAAGGACAGGTGGCTGAGATATGGTTTTCCCTCTCTCTCTCTCCCTCCCTCTTCCCCCCCCCCGAAATTTCTCTCTCTCTCTCTTTCAGTTCGATCCACACTCGCAGAAGATACGTACGTTCAAGAGTGTATTCAACGCTAAGAGGATTTCCTCGTGAAACCCAATCGAGCGAGTGTAAAACACTTTCATCGACTAGCTCGATCGGCTGAGTAATACATGCGTAACCACTAGCTCCACTTTCGTCCAACGGGAACTTGAGTAACTAATAAATAAATGAAAAATGACAAGCACAGCATTACGGCGTGATTGATATTAATAAAAAATAAAAAAATAAAATTATTCATTTTATATTTACGCCACTCACTCTACGTTATTACTGTATGGTAGACTGTATCTGAAGATAACGCAAACGTATAAAGATAAAATATATATATACGTATAATGGATTTGCTTGGCGACGAAAAAAAAATTTGTCCAATTCTCACGGTCCAAATGATTGGTTTATCGTTTGGGGTTCTTATTTAGCCGAAAGTGAAGCATATGCAAGCGTGTCTTCTCTCTCGTGTTCTTGTACCGTGTCCATGACTTCCGGTAGCTGTGTGTTGCTGTTGGTGTCGAGTATGGTGTCTGACGATTCTTGTTGTCTTTTGTCAAGTGGGACTTGGCGTGGATTTGACTTTGTTGTTACCTCGTTCGAGTAGGACACGTCGGGTAATGGGATGTAATGGTAGCCCAGTGCTCGGTCCCACAGCATCCCTTTGCTCCATACCTCGACCAGCAGGCCTGTGTTCACGTCGTTGGTTTCGCTGTGTTAGACATATGTATATATATATATATATAATTACAAAGATAAGTAATTTAACATACTAGATACACGATATATGAGATTATCACGTATGAATGTAAAATGGGGCTAATAGAAAATATGGAAATTTTGAAAATTCTCTCAAATACTTAAAAAAAAAAACGGACCCCTGGGGAGATCTTAAGAATGTTTCTTCGTAGAGCAGAATACGTAATTTTATCGATTTTTCAAATTATCACCCGACAAAGAGATTTTGAAAAATCCACTTTTTTTAGAGAATTTACGAACGGGAATAGGAATAACGTGTTATTAAATTATGATTGGTGGAAAATGACAGTTATTTTCCTATCAGTGACTTCTGATTGGTTCGGAGATTGTACTGAAATTACTTTGAGGATTTTTATCCCTTTTTTAATGGAAAGTTGTAACGAGCTCGAATTCACCCTTGTAACTTTTGATTAGAATAGAATTTAAAATTATATTTTGAATATGGTTCAATGATTTTCAAATGAATATATTATATCGTGCAGAGACATAATCCAAAGTTACTATAATACTCGGTATTGATGTATGGACGTTGCCAACTGAAAATTAAATTACGAACATCTTAAGAAAATCCAAAAAAAATATTACTCTTTAATAAAAAGTCATTAAAATATCAATTAAATTAATTTTTTTTAAATCCACCGTCCTTGTACAGTGACTCAAGAAACGTCACAGTCTTTATTCAATCTTCTCTCAAACTTATTCAAGCTCACTCACAAAAGAAAATCTTGTTCCCAGCATGGATTGGCCCCTTTCACGGTGACTGTGGTCGACTTGACATTCTGCAGCTTCAGCGTGACGTACGTGTTGAATTGTTGCGCTAAAAAAAACCATTGAAAAAAATGGTTGAAGAAAAAATTAATGTCAATAGAAAGAAATACCTTAACAATTCAATTTATCTACTTTTTCTCTCACTCCTGTATATACCGCGTCTTTTCATCGGAATAAAATTCAATCCCGAAATTGATACTTGACGACGATTGGCCGATATGCTCGGTGGGTCTGATAAAAAAAAAAAAATAATAATAAAGAGAAAAAAAGTAGTCAAACGAAAAAGTTGTATATCGACAACGTAGAAAAAAAAATCTGATATATTTCAAGGATACTCGAGACATATGAGCATTGTTCTCGAACCAGCCGTAGAAAAGTACCTACAGGGTGTCTTTATTGTAAACACAATATATCGTCTGAAAGAAGCTCAACTCTGTGAGAAAAACATAGGATCGTATATCATTACCCATTTTATCCCCGCGCACATACTTCCATTTCGAGAGTGTCCTCTCAGCCTTATTCAAAAATATATGTGTATAAATATACGCGCGGTTAGACTTAAAAAGAAAAATACGTCAAATTCCGTTTGACAGTTCGAAAAACTTGTCGCGTTAGAAACAAATAAATAAAAGAATCAGCATGGATCAAATATCGGATGAATATATTTTTTTTTTATTTCAAATTAGCTTCTTATCTATGCTCGCTCGCTGATAGGCAATTTTAATAGAATAAATATAACCGGTACACGTCATACAGTGGATAGCTGCATTTTTATCAATGTATAACGTCCGTACCTCGTTTAAAACTCGTTTTCGCATGATAAACAAAAAATCTACATATCCAGCCATCTTGCATAACAGCATAATCTATACTACAAAGAACAAAATAAATATACATATAGATATGCAGAATCTCGACGTCACGCAAGGGTAACGTTTCGCACGCGAATCCATCAAACCGTAAATAATAATTGACCAGCCCGATTGTCACGCTTGTTTGGCATTGTTAAAGAATTGGGAACAATCAATTAATAAGAATTTACGATATTACTTTATATACACGTAGTAAGTGCCAGTGCAATATCTAGTTGTATCATTGTGGATATTTAAGCAACAAATTTTCATTGGCATCGACAGAAATATTTTCGAAAATTACCATTGCGATTATAAATTTCACTAGTTTACTTAATCAAACTTACTAGAATTGTCGTAATAGTCACTAGATATTTCTCACGTCCAAATACTAACCACTGCGCTAGAAATTACTATACATTTTTCTCCGTGATTATGCATACGTCCAAAATTTCAATAAGAATCGACCTCACAAATTCTAGAGATTTTATGTCGTTCGCTGTTCACGTAAAATTTATTGTATACGAAATCACAAGGTTTTGCTCATTCATTTTCCCTTGTCCTATAGAAACAATTATTTTTTTTTCTCTCTGTCAAAGGATAATATCGTAGCGAAACTTCCGCGCTGGAATAAAAGTTTCTCTCGTGTCCGCCAAACCATTAGTTGACGATCGTCAGTATTACGTGGAATAAAAGTTATTCGACGGAACGAAGCTAAACTTATTTCTTGATTACGCCAGAGTCTCTTAGAGAACAAGAATATTAAACAATTTGCTGCTCGCGCATGCGCCGGTTTGAAAAAAAAGTCTGACTGAGACGGTTTGTTATACTGAACTATTTGGGAAGCTAATTTTGGTTTCGAAAGAAAATGATTGATTTGAGATAATGTTGTTATTGTTAAAGAGAAACAGGTCGGTTTAGAAAGGGACTATTTCGTTAAATACGTTAAAATCGTTGTTGGTTCAGAACTAACGTGGTATGATTAAGAAATATTCGATATACGGAGGAATGAAATAACTGATTTGCGAAAGAGCTGATTGATTCGAAGATACTTTGATTAACTTTGAAACAGCAATTAGGCTGGATTTGGAAAATCGCTTGCGTGAATTGTTTGCTTGGTACGTAAATTGCGCATTTCGTTTGTGATTGTTTTTGGCCGATTACACCGAAACGGTTGGGTTAATCGGACAAAAATTCCCAGTTTTGGAAAGCGTTGGAAATTTTCCACAAAATGAAAAAGAAGTTTAATTAAACTCAATACATAACAATACAATTAACTATATTGTTATAGCATTTGTAATATATGAATATACAAATAAATGTAAAAGCATCTGACGTACAGCCGCCTACGTCATAAACACTAAAGTAACTACATACCCAGTCATTCAGCCAGAATACCACCTGAGTTTTCACCATCTGAATGAAATGGGGTGCGGCTAACTTCAAGCGATGGCGTTTGTGCTGAATAACCCGGTACATAAGCATCTCAAATTTATCATTCGAAGACCAAAGACATACTGGGGCATTCAAACATGAAAGCTAGAAACTTTTTTTTAAACTGACTTTTGAATTTTCAGCATTGAAATTCTAGCCTAATCTAATCAAACAAAGACTATTCAACATCACGAGCCTGTGTATGTAGTATTACAAAAATTTTGAAAAATTACGAGCATCAAATTTTCCGAATATAAATTTAATATTTAATACCATACCACCAAAAATTCAATTGCACTCTAAAAATAGAATCGCTTCAAAAATCTTTTCCTCGATACAAAATAGAGCGCCTATTTAAAATCAGTCCCTAGTTCTGAACCAAATTTCAAATATCTCCCAAGCCAATTTCCATTATCCCAAAATATATTTTTTTTTCTCACCATCACCTCCCTATAACCATAGCTAAAGATTACGGCAGATCCAATACACAATTTACCCTATCTCCAAAAAAATGTGTATATATGTATACAGAACATTCTGCGTGAATTGACAAAGTGGAAAAAAAAGTCCAGGACGAAAAAAACCTTTTTTAAGAAAAAAAGTAATTACTTAGTTCAACGAGTGCCGGATTTGTACGTCAAGTATCCATCCGGCCGCTTTTTTTCATGCTATGATAAAAAAAAAAATAAAAATAATGCGACAAACCTTGGACCCCGACGAACCTCGCCTTCTTCACTGTAACAGAAAGAGAAGAAATCGCATTATTACAAGATCTGTTTCTGATCGTACATTGTCGTATCGCGTAATACAAATTTTTCAAGCACGATCTACGTATTGGAACATATTTAACGTTCCTCGCATAAAAATACCTCGACAAACAATTATTATCGTGTCCGATGACATTGATCGATCTGTTGAAACGACTGAAAAATTTATTCGAGTTAGACTACCGATTAAGCACGTTTTAACAGACATTCTTTAAAATGCAATTTCATTCGGCTTCTCTCCAGAGTTTAATTTCAACTGGATTCGTAATTCCCTGTACATTTACCTACTCTCCCCACCTTCCCCTGTTATTTATCACGTCCTTTCGATTTTTTGTTATCACCTGCCATTCAGCATGTATTTTTCTTCGTATCATTTGTATTGCTTCTACTTATGTCGATGACGCCATTTTTTCTATTACACACGTCGTTACGCACGGAAGAATAAATATCTGTTACACTTTTTTTTGGCCTACAACGATAAACCCATTTGCTGCGTAATCCAGTACCCCCTGTACACTCAGATTTCTTTCTTAATTGACTATACAAGATTCCTCTCGCTAACACTATCAGAATTTACTTTATTACATTACACACTAATTTTCAAACTACGAACCCTCCTGTATCCACTTAAAATTTAATATCGTAAAATTAACGTAATCCTTAAAAGCGATCATAACCTAATAACCGTGCCAGCCAACGTTTGTAACGTACGTACTTAATGCACACACGGTCTGTATATGTACATGTACACAGTTACGTATGTGATTTAAAAATTTTTTTATTTTATTCGTCGCCCCTATCCTACCGATTCAAGTTATCCCAACAGCTATGTGAACTTAGCACCCGACTTTGGAAAATCAAATTTTTTTTTATAGACCTATAGATTTAGGTATGTAGTTGTTTGTAGTACCAATTTTTTCGTTTGTAGTAGACCCAAAAAAAAGTTATAGCATCATAAAAAAACCCCATCCACCGACTTTGAAAAAAATAAAATCTAATCACTGATTCTTGCAGAGAATCGTTTGTAGTTGATTGTAGTGAAAGAATTTCCATTTGTAGTAGCATAGAAAAAAAGTTAGAAATTTTTTTTTACTTCAAATTATTTGTAGTCGTATATAAGTAGTAGCTTCGTTTCGTTTGTAGTTGTTTGGAATGACATTCTTTTGTTTGTAGTTACTACAAACAACTACAAACGAAATAGACGTTACTACAAACAACTACAAACAATACAAAGGTACTACAAACGAAATAGACGTTACTACAAACAACTACAAACGAAACAAACCTACTACAAACGAAACGAAGCTACTGCAAACGAAATAGGCGTTACTACAAACAACTACAAACGAAACAAACCTACTACAATCGAAATAGACGTTACTACAAACAACTACAAACGAAACGAAGCTACTACTTATATACGACTACAAATAATTTGAAGAAAAAAAAATTTCTAATTTTTTTTCTATGCTACTACAAACGGAAATTCTTTCACTACAATCAACTACAAACGATTCTCTGCAAGAATCAGTGATTAGATTTTATTTTTTTCAAAGTCGGTGGATGGGGTTTTTGTATGATGCTATAACTTTTTTTTGGGTCTACTACAAACGAAAAAATTGGTACTACAAACAACTACATACCTAAATCTATAAGTCTGTAAAAAAAAAATTTGATTTTCCAAAGTCGGGTGCCAAGTTCACATAGCTTATCCCAACGAGACTGATAGCACCTACTGTCGAGTAGGAAATTTAACTAAAAGAATGTTCAGTGGGGTAATTAATTTTAATAAGATTGATTAAATTATTTTTTTCAATCACTCAAGAAAATCCAGGAAGGAAAGACATTATTTTTCCTTTTTATCGCTTTAATACAATTTTTTTATTGTCTTGTGATAACGACAATTATTATTATTGTTCTTATCAATAAATTTTAATGGTCTTTCCTGTTAGCAAGTCGTTCATTTACATTTTATGAATTTCCACGAGGATAGAAAATCCAGTTAATTATTCGATTTGTTTCGATCATGAACTTTAATAATGCTAGACTTATTGGGAAATTCATCCATTGATTACACAGAGAAAATGAGGGTCGGCAATTTTAATTAGGAGTACAGAGAATTCTGTATGCGCAGTGGTAGAAGTTCATAGTACTTTGGAACCAGTACGGATTTCTACCTCTGCTTCTAATCGTCGTATCATCATTACGACAACGCATTGTAATTACTTTGACATTTTAATGTCTTCCTTTCAATACTTATTCACGTGTTAAAGGCAAACCTTAACCCGTAACTACACGCGGTCTCAAAGACCTAACCAATCTTACGTTTAGCCCACCTGCCAAATTTGTCTCTAAGTAAATTTTTAACGAACTCAATAAAATCTACTAGATAATTATTGCTTGATAATTGTTCATTAAATTTGTTTAAGCTAAAAGAAGAGCGACGTAAAGCTCTACTTTTGATCTATTCTCTTCGTTTTAGTAGCCCTACAATCGACCTCCACAATTTGAGGTCTCACAGAGCTCAGCTTGTAAATTGTGTTCCTAGAGTTGGACCTGTGTAGTTGAGGGTTAAAGGGAGGATAATATTCATTAGTTATCCCGTCGGCTCCATTTTCTCCGTGTACTTATTGAAAAATCAAATCATTTCCATGACTTCGTAAAAACGATAGCGACAGCAAATCAGAAATAAATTTATGCAAGACGCATCGTATCTTTATGTGTATAACTATATTCTATGCCTTACTCATACCTGCATTACATAAAATGTCAATTCTTATTCCTCACGCATATCATCACTGTTTACATTTTAATTTTACGAGAAACTTATTTTGGGTCACAGAAACGGTCCTGCTTTCTTCGAATATTCCATATGAAAAAAAAAAATTGTCTTTTACGAACTTTCGTAATCATAATGATCACGTGTCACCGTCCCTCTCCATACCTAACCTATTTTTATAACTTTCATAATATTGGTTTGGCATTTATGATTCCGACGCCTTCATGGAGAAATTAATGTCCTGCTGCTTATTGTATATAGCGATATATATACGTAGCTACAAATTGTCAATAGAAGATAAAAAATATGTGCAATATAAATAACAATTACGACAAGAATAAAAAAAATGAATAACCTTAAGCCACGTGCGTTCCGTATAAAAGAATATGTGACGTCATTAGAAATTTCTTGCACTCGGAAACTGGTATGAAAATTTTGAGGAATAAAGAAAATGAACTTCACCCCAGCGTCTTGACGGAAGAGTGGACGCGAAAGAACACGAAGTAATTGAGGTCAAACATCCCTTAACACACTGACCCTTCTCCATCTTCAGTGCAAGTTCCTCGCTATAAAATTTCAACAGGATTATTCGATACTTCGTTATTACACTTTTTCATTTTTTTTCGTATCCCTTTTATATTTCTTCTTTGCCTTCTCGAATCAACTCGCTGTCGCATATGTAAATCCGTCTCGCTATGTTCCGGCATTTTATTCTTTGAACCTTCCAGATAAAGGTAAGTGCCACACGTGCACGAGTCTGCACGCAGACAGTCTGTATACACGATTGCAATGTAAATTCTCATGGCGGATTACAAGGATACCTTGAACCACTCTCGAGGGCTACCCTTTTTGCACGACCATAACATACTCTGAGGCCTAAGCATAGTACAGTTTACGGAAACAGGGACCCAAGCTATTTCCCCAGCATCGTTATACACGTGTTATATAGAGACGATAGAAAATTCAATAATCTTTCAGTTATCTGTTTAAAGACATTCTCGGTCCTCGAAAAATGTAACATGCTTTCCCAGCATACGACAGTTTCATGGAACTTAAGGATAAGTATGACTAAACCAAGAAATTCATTCTTCGTTTACTTCTTTTAGCATCTGGAATTACAGAGGAACACGTGACTACACGTATATACGAGCGCACTAGGGACTCGCAAAACACATCGTACGTAGTCTATAACGGAAGAGAGAAACTTTACGATATCGCCGTGTGACGGCTATTGATAACCGATAATATTTTACCGGTCCACGTGTCATAGTGTTCTCTGCTCTATATGTCCTTCAAAGGTCACGAAGCATTGTGCGCGCTTGCATTTGCCTCCTACCTTAACCCCCCTCGCGTCGTCGTGCAATACGCCAGGCAATAGAATCCCTTCTTGGAAACGCTCGAACGGTTACTAACACACAGACCACATCTAGGAATCCTGAAAGGCAAACGAGATTATTTCCCGAGATTGTTTCGTCTACGAAAACTACTGAAATTTTCCAAGCGAGACGTATATTATTATCCACCCATCCGTAAAGTCACGAAGCGACGAAGCCGCATTTGAGAGAACGAGTAGTACAGTAAGGATCTATTTGGTGGCGCAGCGAGCGACAGTGGCGCTCTCTGTGGAACGAGAAAGAGAACGACGATGCAACGTAACGTCAATGTCAACGGCAAAAGGAAAAGCAGCCTTAACGCTTGGCGTTACTCTTCCCCTCTTCTTTACCTACGAGCGACTGGAAAACAATGGCGCCCACGTGTCAATGTGGACGTGCCGTGAGCTCCTTCAACGTGGCGACGTCGGGTACGAGACCAGTGCGGGACTATATTGTAGGTTATTGTACGCGAAAGTCGTTCGTGTGCTCGCGTATGTGGATACGTGTATAAGGATCGCATCGGGGATGGGAAATGGGGATGAGAAAACGGTTTCCAGCCTTGATTTTTATATGACACCCCTACTGAACGCCTGCGCATTTACACATAGGTATAGTATAGACGCACTTACGCTTACTACTCGTTGACGTCGTCATCCCTCTTGTCAGTGTTGCGCTCTTTCTTCCTCCCTTACTACCTCTGCTATACTTTTTCATCCCCTGATACACACACTTCCTCTTCTCCTGCGGCAGCGACCCTTCAAAAGCTATGGCGAAATGGGTACACAACGGGAACTGTATTACGGCCGTGTTATTTATAGACTCTATATTAGAAGCAATATTCACGCGAAGCGAGTAACACGATATTTTATCGTTTCTTTATCGCGAACTGGAGGGGATGATCAGCTTTCTTAAATCGACTCGCCACCCCGGAATCATCCCTTGAATATCAGCAGGGGATATAGTCTACCTCGATCTTTTGCGTATTAATGTTTTGACGTTTTGCCATTTTTTTTTTCTTTTTTTTTCCATATACAAAGGACCACCGCCGACGCTTGCTTTTCTTTCTTTAACCATCCCCTTC